TCAAATCAAACGTCGAACTCCCCTAGCTTCACTGCCCATTTAGCAACACGTCTCGACAAATCGGCTTATGGAAAAGTGACTTCAATGGTTGGTCAGTAAGTATTGTGATTTGGTGGGCTTGGAAGTAATGTCTGAGCTTCCTAGCCAAACTAATCAGTGCTAGGGCAAGTTTTTCCAATAGAGTACACCTCGATTTTGCATCTAAGAGCATCTTACTCACATACAAGATGGGTTTTAGCTTTCCACAATCATTCCTCATCAATGCTCCACTTATTGCATGCTCTGATATAGCCAGATAAAGGTAAAGTCCTTCTTCGGGTGTCGGGGTTGATAGAATCGGTGGAGATGCTAAGTATGCCTTCAAATTTGTAAATGCTTCCTCACATTCCTGACTCCAAAATGCTTCATTCTTTATTTCGATTGACTGAAAGAAGGGTTCGCACTTATCAGATGCACGGGATATAAATCTCTCAAATGCTGCTGCTATTCTTGTTAGTCTCTATACTCTTTTACAGTTTTACAGTTCGACAATGGCCTTTACTTGCTCGGGATTCACCTCTATTCCTCGGTGAGTAACCAGAAATCTCAGGAATTTCCCCGAGCCGACCCCAAATGCACATTTTGAAGCGTTTAATTTCGTGTTGTACGTTCGCAGAACATCAAATGTGCTTTTGAGGTCGGCACAATGATTTGCTACTTTCTGACTCTTCACCACTATGTCATCAATGTAAACTTCTATTGTATTGCCTATCATATGTGAAAATATTTTATGCACCAACCTCTGATATGTTACTCCAGCATTCTTCAATCCGAATGGCATTACTGTATAACAGTACGTTCCATTCGGTGTTATGAAGACAGTCTTTTCTTGATCTTCTTCTACCAGGGGGATCTGATGGTATCCCTGTAGGCGTCTAGGAAACTCATATGCTCGTGTCCAGCAGTGGCATCTACCAACTAATCTATCTTTGGCAAGGGGAAGCTATTATTTGGACATGCTTTGTTTAGGTCGGTGAAGTCAACATAGACCCTCCACTTTCCATTTTTCTTCTTTACCACAATAGTGTTTGACAGTCAGGTCGGGTATTGTACTTCCTTAATTGTTCGAGACTCCAATAATCGTACTATTTCTTCCTTCACTGCCTCCTGATGTTGAGGCGCCGACCTCCTTAGTTTTTTTTCTGATTGACTTGAAGTTCAGGTCGATGTTTAATTGATGACATGCTACTTCAGACGGTACGTTGGGCATATCAGTAGTGGTCCATGCAAAAACGTCAACATATTCTCGTAAAAGAGTGACGAGCTCAGTTTTTTGCTTGGGACTCAGAGCAGTCCCTAACAAAAATTATTTTCGGGATCCCCATCTTTGCCTAAAGGTACTTTAGTCAAGTCTTCAATTGTTTGGTCCATAACTTCCTTTTCAGCACCTAAAGGTACTTTAGAGCCTTCCTGAACAGCTTGATCGGTTGGTTTAACTGAGCTGTAAAAGGTTAATTGTTATTTCGCCTCCTCAGACATTGAGTTCTTCTTGCGAGCTTCAACCCCTCCTTTGGGTTTGACCGAGGCTAACAAACAAGTTCTGGCACTGACTTGGTCTCCTCAGATATTGACTACTCCTTCAGCTGAAGGGAATCTCAGCATTTGGTGGTACGTTGAGGGTACCGCCTTCATTGTGTGTAGCCAGGACCGCTCCATTATCGCGTTATATGCCGAGACCGTATCCACTACCAGGACCTCATTCAGGATGCAAACTGGTTCTGTCTTTATAGGTAATGTGATCTTCCCCTAGGAAGAACTATTTTTCCACTAAAGACGATAAGTGGAGTATTTGAAGGCTTAAGATCCTCTTTCTTAAGTTCAAGTTTCTCAAATAGATCCAAATACATGATCTCTGACGAACTCCCCGGATCAATCAGCACCCTTTTCACATCAAAATTCACAATCTGAAGTGTAACGACTAGGGCGTCATTGTGCGGTTGGTGCACTCCGACCAAGTTCTGCTGGTGAAACAGATTGCTTCGGTTGACTCCTCTATCTTGATTCTTTTGTTGGTCACCTTTGGGGTCAATCGTAACTCATATACCTCTCTCTCATTGGCAGCCTTTTGGATATATGCCCAAACAGAATTATTTGTGGACATCTATGAGTTGGTGGCAGCATGGATCACATCAATCACTCCTACTGAAGTTTTGTGGTCCCTATTTGGTTTGGTCCTCCTTCCATCGGATTTTTGTTTACCTTCTATGAACTCGGCGAGATGTCCAACCTGGACCAGCTCCTCCAAATGCTGCTTCAAAGATCGACAGTTCTCAGTCATATGGCCCACATCTCTGTGATATGAACACCTGAAGTTTGGATTCCTTTTAGAAGGATCTCCTATTAACTTATTTTGCCATTTAAAAAATGGCTTTGTCTTGATCTGGCTTAGTATCTTATATATTGGTTCCTTGAACAATGTATTTATTCCTACAAATGGGGACTTTTGCGGATATCCATCTTTCTCATTCTTCCTTCCTCCCTCTCTGTTTGGCTCAGTGTACTTGTCTCTGTTGAACTGTCTCTTGCTCGGATGTTGTTTAACCCCGTCCCTGGATAAGTCGTCATCGACTTTGACATACTTTTCAATCCTAGACATCAGCTCTTCCAGATCCGTGGCTGGCCTTCTTATGAGCGACTAATATAGGAGGTTTTCCTTCGACAAATTGATCTTGAAGGATGCAACTATAATCTCTGGATTGCACCCTTCAACCTCGTTCATAGTTTTCCAATAACGATGAGCGTACTCTCGCAGGCTTTCATTATTCTTCTTCTTTAGCGTCAGTAGTGCTCCAACATCCTTTGACTGCTTACTACTCGTTATAAACCGAGTCGTGAACTGCTCGGCTAATTGAAATCACCCATCAATTATTTCCTTCGATAGGCTATCAAACCATTTCATGGCTGACTCCCCAAGACTGCTAGGGAAGATAGTACAGAGTAAGGGCTCGTTTTTCAATGAATGGTCAACAGTTGTCTATAATGTCTAATGTGCGAGGCTGGGCCGGTTTTCCCATCATATAGTTTGAAGTTCGGGATGGTGAATTTGCTCGGAATCCGTCCTTTTTAGATCCAAACTGTGAATGGAGATGACTCCGAACCATCTCCATATTCTCCTGTCGCTCTTTTGGCTAGGTCCCTAGCCGACCTTTGTTCTGGTCTCCTCAAGCAGTTGTTGAGTTCCTCGGTAATGTACTGTTTCCATGCAACCTCTTCCTGAACCCGAGGTTTCTTCTGCTGGTGACGATCTTCATTGTTGCTTCTGATTCTGTCGGGCTTCCTTTCAGGACTTTCCCAATGGTTTTCCCTCGCACGTTTCTCTTTCCTGGTTGTCTCTTTTATCCTGGTTTTTAGTTCTTTAGTTTCTTTGATCAGATCCTTTTCTCTGGCATAAGATTTCTTGAATAACTTGTCATGAGCGTCAAGTCTATCCTATAGGGATTGAACCAACTTTATTAGGGAGCGATTTTCCCCCTCAGCACGGAGGGAATCACCACGATCTTCAATTTGAAGGTTCTGATTCTTCGAAGGCTTGAAACTGGCAGAGGACATCTCTTCACCTTCATGGGATCTAGATGAGCTTCCTCTTGCCTGCAGCTGCATATTGCTACTAGGAGGGATGGATGCAAGATTAGAGTCTCCCAAGGCGAAACTGTATCTAGGTGAACCATTTGCGCTTCTGAGTTTAGACATTGTGGCTTCTTGTTTCGAAGAGATGAAAATCTACCCACAAACGGTGCCAAATGTAAGAGGCGAAAAATCGAGAACTCCTCCTACTGGAATTGAAATATTGATGTGTTTTTGAACTTGATCTTCCAGTCTTCCTCTTCCTACAAAACGAACAAACTATCTAAGATCAAAGTATTTCGATCGAAGGCACTCCGATGCTTAAGTCAGTAAAGATAATGAAATGAATGGAAGAAGACCAAGAGAGTTCAGCGTACCTTTTACCTTGGATTCCTTCGTTTTTTATAGATGGTCATCCCCTTAGGATTTCTGTGATTTTTGATTCAAGGTGGCACACCTTCCTTCAGTTTAGTGATTTGGTTTGGGAAGTTGCTGATATTTCTCTATTATTTTCTCATGATATTTTCAATTTCTATGATTCGTTTATCTGATTACCTAAGTTATAGACAAATCTTTATCTTTCTGTCTATCAATTGAGACAGCTTGGACATATCGAATGCCAAGCACACTCGATGTTTGCCGAATAAGTTAAGGGACTTGGTTTGACACAAATTGAAATCTTCAATTGCTTTGCCGAACGCTTTAACGGACTCGGCTTGATACAATCTGAACTCTTTCTTTGCTTAGCTGAACAGATTGACGAGTTCGGTCATAAAGAGAACCAAACTCTTTTTTTCTTTGTCGAACCTATCAATCAGCACGGCTCGATTTATAAGGCTGTGTGAAGAATTTATCCGTCACGTGACCTATCTTATCAACCTCACGTGAGTTTCATTTAATGTTATTACATGTGCAATGATGAGGGCTAACCCCTTCACAATACTTTTTTAACCACACCTTATCTCTCTCTCTCTCTCTAACGCCACCTCTCCAGCATATATAAACACACATACACAACACACACGCACACACACGCACACAAAACCCAAGTTAATTGCGAATTTGTATCACTCATCGATCATTCTCAATACATAGTCGTAGTACATCAACTCCACGTAAGCTCTCTTCCCTTTTTGAATTGTCTTTGTTCAGTTCTTGGAAATTAGAATCATAATGATAGGCTAGATTGGATTCCATTTACAATAAATTGAACTGAAAATTTCATTACTTATACAATTGCTACGTATACTAAATGCTTGACGCCATAAAAATCATATTACAAACTATTCTCATATGAATTTGTGTAATTGTGTCATCTATATGATTTATAGATATGGAACTACGGGAATTTGTTGTTATATGTATATTCTCAATTCTGGCTATTGATTTGAAATCAGGGTTTTCTTGGTTCAATACCTGGCAATCTCAGACTATAATTATTGGTTGAAATCCCAAAAACGACCAATGGTTAGAAAGAAGCCTAACGGCCGAGGTGACGAGAACTTAGCCGCTATGCAGGGCGGTGGTGGGAAGTCTAAAAAGAAAAGCATGCCAATAGACGATGATGAATACTCAATTGGGACTGAGTTATATGGAGAACTATCTTTTAGGAAGAGAAAGAGGTGCCAACTGGTAATAAAAAAGAAGGGTAAGAAGGGAAGCTTGAAGAGTTCAGGAACCAAAGAATAAAGATAATGACGATGTAGCGGTAAAGGATGTTGAAGACGGGCGAATCTACGGTGCTGCCCCCACTGCAATTTTGAAATCATGTAGGGTATATTTAGAAGTTCAAAAAATTTAAGACAATGCTCAGTGAAATATTTATCAAAGTTCATGGGTAAGTTTGTATTTTACAAACAAGTGTGACATTATTTGTCTTTTGACAGACATTTAGCTGTGGGACCATTTGTCCGCTGAGAACATTGGGATTTTTTATAAAAATAATAAAAAATTAGGGAGTGATCCCACTTATAAAAAAAAAATATGAAGTGATCTTGGCATACGTCAACACGAGTCAATTTAGATTACATTCAATTTCTTTTTTCCAAGGATGACAAAATTTATTTTAATTAGATAAATCTGAGATACTATTTTTTAAAATTTCATAATTGATCTTGAATTAAAATAATTGATTTTAATATTTATGATTGATTTTAAGTATCTGCAAAATTATAATTTGATCATAAAAAATTATAATTTATTCTTTCCGTTCCTAAATAGCTGTCGTTTTATACAATTTTTTTTGTTCTATAATATATGTTGTTTAATGAAACCAAAACATAATTAATATTTTTTCTTCCAATTTTACCCTTAACTTTTCAATGAATTAGATTAGGTAGAGATTAAGTGTCTTTCATATTCTTTTCCTTTCCAATACGTATTATATAAGAGTATTTTAATCTTGTGCAATTATTTTTTACTTATATTAGAGCTATTTAATAGTTTCTTTAATCTTTGTCTAAAACTTTAAACGACAGATATTTAAGAATGGAGGGAGTAAATCCTAAAAGTTGTAACATGACTCATAAAAGTTATAATTTTGTAGAATTTTTTTTTTGCTCTTTTTTGTAAAAAACCTCAAAAATTTATATAACAACTCACAAGACTTATAAACTCAACCACAGTAGCCCCTTTGATACCAAAGTTGAATTCCAACTCTAAATATTATGCATAAATATAACACAAAATTAACGACTAATTAAATTGCCCCCAGAACCAAAAAAGTCTGGCTTCACCCCAGTCGTTGGTTGAAGAAGAGGATGATGTTCTAGTGGCTCAATTTGGTGGTAGAAAGAAGGGTGGTTGTAATAATGTGTATAGTCCTTTGAATTCGGATAACTTGGAGAGGAGGACGAGGATGATGAAAGTTCCGGTTGGATTCAGTATAAGGATGATGAGGGTGTGCCTGGTGAGGAAGAGGGTGAGAGTTTAAGTCACTTTTACAGGAAAGTATATGCCATCAAAGTCGAAAAAAGGTGGTAGTGTATTTAGTGCATCAGTGTTTAATGCAAGTGATGACGATGATGAAGATGATGTGGTGGATAATTCGTAATCAGAACACCAGTTAGATGAGGATGATGAACCTGCTATTTCTTTTAGAGGGAAAAAGAAGCTGTCAAAATCGAGTAAGGACTTGATGATGGAGGGGAGGATAACGACGAAACTAAGTAGTATAACTCGGTGTTTTAATCTGTGCTTATTCTTGTAAGATATCTCATTCTTTACTCCTGCATTTATGCTCTATGATAAAAAAATAAAAAGATGAAAAATTAGAAAGACAAAAATTTAGAGAGATGTATAAAATATCATGTTTGGTAAGGAAAGAAAATAGGAAGGATGAAAAATTTGATAAATGAGCTTTCTTTCAAATTCACCAAAATCAATTCCTCTAAAATAGGAAGGAAAGTAGATGAAAAATTAATTATTTGTTTTGAAATGTATCTTATTTGTCTATATATCCTTTGATATATACATATATTATGTAAACATTAATTTTATATATGAATACAATGATAAAATATGTATTTATATTTTTTTTTAAAAAATAAAAATTTAAAATAAAAAAAATATTTTTTCCATCTTAATTAGGGGTGAAAATTTTTAACTCAACACGATGACACAACTCAAACTCGACACGAATTTGATTATAATTCCACACGAATTCAAAAATGACCTAACAGACGAATACAAAATATAAACGGCTCATACTCAGTTTAATCCATCAAACTCAAAATTGATACAATCAATCCGTTTATTTAAGAATAAACATTTTTTCTATTTTTTCGTTTATATGTTAACACAAAATTAACATGTTTAACTAGTATTATATACATAAAATGTTAATTATTTATTAAGTACTGATATAATTATTATATAAAAAAAGATATTTTTACTTATTATTATTATATTTATTTAAGTTAATTTTTAGTTTGTTAAAAAAGTATGAGCATTGATTCAATTAAATGAAAATAGAATATTAACGTTAAATTTGTATTCAAAGTTTATGTGGATCAATACGAATACTAACACGAACACAACACGAAAATAAACATGTCAATTCGACACAACACGATTAGTTAAATGAGTTGATTTAAGTTTGACTAATGTTCAACACGAATCTGTAATAATTCGACATGAACCTGACATGACACGACTCGATTGTCACCTTTAATCTTAACAAGCATAAAAAATTATAATTATTTTTATTTTTCATTCATTCTACCAAACAGAAAGGAAGAAAATTGTATCATTACTATTTTTTTTCCTTGAAAAATAGAAAATATATCCCCTTACTTTTCATCCTTCCTACTAAATTGAGTATTATATTAATTGGAACTCCAATTTGTATTCCTCGGAGGGAATTTATTGATATTGGGCGGATTGCATCCGTTGACAACAATCACAGGCCAGCTGATTATGCCAAGAAAGGCCACAAAATTGCTATTAAGGTATTAGTCCTGGACATCGAAACACCGTCCCTGGTATCTTTGTTGTCATTGTGCTCTTTGTATGTCCCTAAAACTTGGATCAACTTATTATATTTTCTCCCTCCTGAATCCACCTATGTACGCTTCATTTTGATCCCTATGCACTCGCACTGGCTCAAGTGTTATTGAGACGAATTCGGGCTCATGTTAGGTTATAGGGTGTGTTTGGGTAACGGAGTGGGATAGGGTAGGTTTTCTTATTTTATATCCTAATCAATTTAAGTCAAATTCACTCGTCCACTTTAAAACCTTAATCCAAGATTATATTCAATCCTAACCTTTGTTTGGGAAATAAATATATAATTTAGTGGGCCCCATAAATTACACAAATAATTTTATAATAATTTATCATTCTACCTATGACTATCCATTCAAATCCAAACCAATCCTATCCTATGTTTGGTTAACCCATCCAAACCTAATAAAATTATATATTTTTCACATATACATAAAAACAAATAAAAATAAGGAAAGTATATATATATATATATATATATATATTTGTATTTTTTTTCAAACAAATCAACACTTTATTTTATTTCTTAAAAATTGATTACAATAGGAGAAAGACAAACAACCTTGCCTTAATATGTTTCGACCGGTAGATTATTCTAATAAAATTATACATTTTTCACATATACTTAAAAACATATAAAAATTATATACGATTTAGACCCCTTGTTTAATTTTTTAGTTTTATTTTAATAGATAGTATAATTATATACTAATTACTATTTTTTAAGAAAAAATTAAATTTTTAATTTTAATTTTATTTCAATAAATAATATAATAAAATATGAATTTTGATTGTAAAATAATATTTGATCTTCTATCTTTGATTGAAATATTTTTTGTCTAAGTATAATATTTTAAATTTAAGGGGTCTGAGTATTATATACTTACTACAAACTTCAAAGAGATTTAAGTGTAATTTATTAACGAATATATTAATCTTGAGGGTCTAAGTATTACACGCATATAAACTTGAAAAAATTTGTGTTTAATATTTTAAATATTAGTGATTTGAATAATTCAATGACAAATTATAGGGGAACTAAGTGTAATTCTCCCTAGATAAATCTCTCAAACCCAGAAGTCAGATCCATCCGCCTGCCATTGATGTCTGCAACTCTCATATACATCCCACCACCACCGCAACCAGAACTCACCTCCCCATCTCTCCCACCACCTCCACCTCCAGTTCCATCTTTCTCCCCTGCAACAGAAACACCACCACCACAATAAAAACACTCACCACCACAATGAAAGCACCCATCACCACCACTACCTCCCTCCACAACAATTCAATGCTTCCTTCAATTTCAGATCGTACATGGAATCCCAAACAAGGGTTTCGTTCGACTAAGAGCCCTACCCAAACGTACTCAGATCTAAGCCTTGAGCTGGGCCTCCAATGGAACACACTCTGATTGACAAGAGAAGAGAGAGGGCAAGAGAGGAGGGGCAAAGATGTCTTGGATGGGGTTATCCTCTTGCCTAGGTTGGTAACCCGTGGGAGGGGTGGGTTAAGTGTAGCCGGTGTAAGAGGGTTAAGTGGAACTGTAAAAATCGGGTCAAGTCTTGACCCGAGATTTGTGTCCGATCTAAAAAAAGTTTCCCAAATAAAGGTTATCTAGACCCCACACCTATTTTATTCCATCCAACTAGTGGATAACCACCTTAATCCACTATCCAAACACCACCATTGTGGTGGGAAGCACGATGGGGATAAGGTACCACAAACACCAAATAACAAAGCGCTATGATTTTCTGTTGGAATCCACGTAGCTCAAATGTGGACATGGGATAACACGAAAACCAACAAGATATGTAAAAATGACTCGAATCGAATTTTAATATATAAAAAGAAAAAATAATTTTTAATTGACTCGAATTTTTATATATAAAAAATAAATTTTAATTAATTTAAATCAAATTTTAATTGGTCTGAATTTTAATACGTAAAAAATTTAAAAAACAAATGAGATTTCATTGAAAATATGTCTATCTAGAGGGAATGTGGATGAAGTTTCTCCCAAAATATATCGTGGATAATTTAGTAAAATTGTATTCTAGTTAACGTCATTAATGTGATAGGGGGTGTCAGTGATATTTCAAATAATAAATGAGGTCTCATTGAAGATATGTCTATCTAGAAGGAGTGTCGATGATAATTAAGGTACAACTTTTCACAATTACATTTGGATCAACATTCGTTGTATAACTTATGCAGATTCAATATTTTAGTTATCTAGACATGCAAAAGAAATAATAAAGTAGAATTACATTGATTATAATATTAGAAGTAAAAATGTAATTGTATCTTTATTAGAAGGATAAAATCGAAAATTATTATGCCATTTATAAAGTTTAGGATTTTATGGGAACAAATTAGGAAATGTAGAACTTAATGGTACAAACAAAAATATGATAGGACTTAGTGGTTTTTTTGTATAAAAAAGTAGGTTAAATTTTTTCCCTATAAATTCTCATTTTGTTTCTGATCCTGCCATTGAATTTGGTGCAGTACTTTGCAGAGTTTTCTCATAATAATTCCTACATAGGCCTTAGCAAGAACCAGTTGGTTTTTATAGGTAAGTATGAGCATTGGTTACTGGGAAATTGATTATATGTGAATTTACAGAGCCTATATTCTGTATAGCTGTTCAAAATCTAAATTATCTAATTGGTGCAAATTTATTGTTTTCTTATAAAAAAAAATAGCATGGATTATGGGAGAAATAATGAAGTGAGTGATAGCAAATATTACCACAAATTGCTTGAAGATGACTCACAAACAAGGATTATAACACCGTTTGAATGTTCACGTAAAAAAAAAAAAATACTTAAATAAAAAGTATTTTTATCAAAAAAGTGCATTTGAATTATCAATTAAAAAACACCACCTATCTATGTCTTAATTTTTAATATACGCTATATTAAAAATTGAGTGGTGATAGTGCTGGTAGCCGATAGCGGTGGTGGGTCATGGTGGTGATGTACAGTGGGATTATAGTGGTAAAACTGTTTTTGATTTTTTGAAAATAATTAAAATAAATTGGTCCAACCACTACTAAATATTTGCAATTCCCAAAGCAGGCTTGTTAGAGGGCTACTAAGTTCTTTATCCGGATTTAAAGTATCTTCAAATGCTAAATTACCTAATCTTCCTTTAACTGAAAAATCAGACTAGTGGAGTAGAAAAAGGAGAGATTAGCAATTAAAAACCTTATCATTTTTTTGAAAATTACTCATGAAAAAACCGCTGAGCGATCTCGCTTTCTCTCTCTCCGATCGGCATAATTGGTAAAAACTGCTAATCAACTTCATTATATATATATATATATAGTTTTCACAACTACCAATTATATAAGGTATAATTAAGGGTGTTAAAATATGATACGATCCGTTAACACGATCCAAAATTAGAATATTTTGGTCTTTTTTAAGTCACTTATTTAGTAAACGAGTGGACCCAACACGACTAATAAACAAATCGGATATAAGTGAAGTCAATCAGAAAACAGATATGACACGATTCGTTTATATACCAGTTATACACAGTTCATATACACTACAAATCTGATATGACACTATTCTTTGAACACGAATTAATAAATAAATCGGGTATAAGTAAAGTATTTTTTGACACGAATATACTACGGTCCGACACAAACCCACCTCACTCAACACGGTTCACAGACCTAAATATAATACAACTTATGATTCAAGTAGCTGGTTTAGATACACGGTTGTTTTTTTTTCCTTCCAAAAAAAAGAGAGTGAAACTATCCTTTAAGTAAAACAATAGTTGCGGTTCACTCCAATTGCAGCAATTAGATTAGTTGTAAGTTCTAAGATTCATAAAATTTACTTTTAATTAAATAGTTGTACTTGATTGAATTGTCAAATTTGATATAAATAACGTTTTTCATTTTTATTTGATACATAATATGTTACAAACAAAGATAGACATAGTTAATGTTAAACTTAACAACGACTCAATAAAACTTTGTTCCAACATTGTTGGTGTCGGCTTAAACTAAAATAGACATAGTTGATGTCCATTTGTCCAAAACAAAAGCAGGATAGAAGAGGGGTTTTTTTTTTTTTTCATAACACTTTACAGCCCACTGGAACCAATCAACTTGGTTAACGCAAATGTTATGGACATAGCCAGCCAACCTCCAACCAAAACCCTCACTGCAGACTTAACCGCTGGAGCTCTTCCTAGTGCAGCCCCTAACAACCCAAACACCACCAAAGCAAAGCTCACCGCCGCCACCATTACCCCTATTCTCACTTTGTACTCTCTTATAAACGATGCAGCCAGCAGTGGCACCATTGCGCCGACCGAAAACGCGAGAGCCGAGGCTGCGGCCGCCTGCAGTGGGTTCGGCAAATTCTCCTTCTCTCCATCTCCTTTCTCTTCCCTCACTCCATCACGTACCCTTCTCTGATCTCTCTTCATTTGAGCAACTTCTATATCGAGCTGCGAGTAAACAGAGACAAACTCCCCGATGGCCATGCTACAAGCTCCGGCCACTAGACCAGCAAACCCGGTCAAGATCATGACCCTAATGTCTTGCTTCACGGCTCCAACGCCCATCATTAGGGAGGCAGTGGAGACCAACCCGTCATTGGCTCCGAGGACTGCTGCTCGGAGCCATTGGGACCGTTTGGAGTAGTCGAAGTCGTTGTCTTCCATGCCTAGGGTTATTTGCTGCTCCAAGTCGTTGGCAGGGTGGGAAATTTTTGGATCCTGGAGAGAGGTTTGATTGGAAGCCATAAAATGGGAAGGAATGAAAATGATATGGTTTGATTAGCAAGAAGGAAGTAGTCACGAGGAGAGATAGGAGAATGTGGTGAACACACGCCTCCAAATTAGGGTATTTATAGTGAAACAAAGGTTACTTTTTGTGGGGTGCAGATGATGGTTGGGGCACCATTGAAGCAAAGTGCTTTGAGCAAAGCATATACATAAATATATATATGTGTGTGTGCATGCGCGTGTGTGATTGGACATAAACAATTGAAGTTGCTCTCTATGGTGAAGAGATTACAATGACATTGCCAAATAATTGAGTGAATAGATACAGAAATGTCTCAAGTATATGGAGCTATTGTGAGCCATGGAACATGTTAGATTATGCAGAAATTTAATTGTGCGAGTAAAAGATGCACTTTAGGTTATGTCAAGTGATTCACCATGTTGATTGTTGACTCTGCAAAATGTTTTGTGAGTTGGTTTAGTAATCAAACAATGACCGATATGAAGCTCGTACTTATTGAGTTCTAGTCCCAATTATTGATAAAACTTTTGTAAAACTTATGTTGTTAGTTTGCTGGTAATAACATGCATACGAAATTTACGTTGCAATGATGAATTTAAACGGCGCATGATTGGGATAATTCTGTGTCACTTAAAACAAAACTTATCAAGTGGAGTTCAAATGGCCAACACAATTATGCATCTTTCAGATGATTACGGACCCTTTTAACCAAGTTGAAAGCACAGACAAAGAATTTGTGCAGGTGATGAAGAAAACATACAGGAAAACATTATCTGCTTTACAAAAGAGGAAAGGATAGGAGATATAGCTTTGGGGCAGTTGTAACAGACCGATTTTTCATGAAGAAAGCATGACTTGAACAAGCCCAAACAGAAAAAAAGAAAAGAAAAGAAAACGAAGCAATGTGTGGTGTCGGTTTCTGCTCTTACGTGCATGACTTATTATTGAGATTATTAAGAATCACTATCACTATGGTTTATATAAACGTAAATTGATAATGTATATACATAACCAACACAATCCTGAATCCAGTAACTACATATTATGCGTATGTTGGATATACCTATGTAGGGAAATTCTACGGTATCAATTTTTTTTTTTTTTGGTATCGTATCGTTAGTTATCAATTTTTATAATAAAGTTATAATTTTCAAAGGAGAAGTTACAACTACTCAAGGAAAGATCATGATCGATTATGAACTCTCAGTTTCGATCTCAACTTTCTACGATTAATCATGTCCTTTAAAAATTGTAACTTACATTTCAAAAAATTATAATTTATTGTACATACCTGTGCGTGCAGGATCTTGCACAATATAAAAACAAGAACAGATCTCTCCCTTGGTGAACTCGAGTGAGTCAGTTGAGTGATCAACCACGCTGCTTGGGACAGCCTGTGAGGTCCGGTGGTAACCTGGAACGGTAACGGGAGACCCTCGTGAATTGAAGGAATGATCCAGTAAGGCTGGGGAAAAGTTCCTGGAACAAAGGAGAACAAGTTAGAAGGGCGCCAGAGTGTTTTTCGGCTTATCCCCTCCGACGATCAAGTCAGTTTTTGAAAGGGAGAGGAAGAAGAAAGCACTGAGTGTTTTTCGTAATTAAGAGTTTCTTGTTGCATACCTTTTTGCCTTTTTTGAGGAGTATTTATACCTCAAAAGCTCATGATTGTTGTCAGTGTTGTCAGTAGATGATCATTAGGTACAGGCAGTGTGCGCACTGATTCTGATGAGGAATGTCTTCCTTTCTTTAACTGCTCGGGATGCCGAACAATCAATGCTGTGTCATCGGGCTGCCGACTGTCTAATGATCTCCACTCGGGGAGGATGCAATAAATGCCCAGCCTTAGAGACATTTATTGCCTTTCAATTCCGAGCCTTACCGCATTGAATGTGGTCTCATCAAGGGAATGGTGTAATTAAATGTTTGCTTTCCCAAGTCGCGTGTCAGTAAGGGCATGCGGTCTTTCTGTCTCTGATGTGACACAATTTGCCACGCGTCCATCCCTTATTGGCTGTGGACCTTGCCTTCCTGTTCCTTCTGACACCAATTGTGTAAGACGAGACCATGATAGCTAACCTAGACTAGCCTAGGCTAATGACCTGTACATCAATAGCTTATACTGGAGCAGAGAAAAAGGCATCCTGGACGGGGGTACATCTCGGTACCGAGGATAGGCACATCTCGGTACCGAGGATAGGTACATCTCGAGCCGAGGGAAGCTGTACATGATGACCGAGGTACCATACCAGACCGAGGGATACGTGTCGGTTCGTAAAACGTACTCGACACGTGTCAAGTACCTCGGGGCGAGGGAGTTTGTAAAGCCGATGGTACGTGATCTCAGTTAACAGGATTTTTAGTGACGCCGAGGACACGTGTCTTCATCTTGGAGTATTTCAGAAAAGTCCCATCAACTGCCCCCCAGCCTTTGATCTTCTGACGCCGAGGACACGCGTCGTAAGGAGACGAAGGGTTTCCCAACAACCTCAACTGCTTCATCATTGCCTCTAGCCGCTTTCCCCTGCTTAGGGAGTCGTGCGCATTAAATGCGCCCTTTCGTGTTTCGCGCCCAATGATGAGACCGGTACTATATAAATGGGCTTCCTCCCTCTTTTTCTCATTTCGTCATTCTGAACTTTTCTTCCAGAGAGCCCTTGTCTGAATCTTCGCCGGAGACCTCTTCTCTTCTGTCTCTTAACTGCCCAACCTCTTCACTGAAGCTTTAAAGCTAGCAGACCCATCCTTTGTTTCTGAACATTCTGGGAAGGAATCGATTCAAGTTTTCCAGAAAATACCTCTTCTTACGCTCTGGTGAGTTCCAGTATCCTCCATTTCTTTGCTCTTCTGTCTCTTTTGGTTTTTCGATTACTAGAGGTATTTTCTGGTTGCCATCCAGCGATCAACCCCAGGGAAGCCTTCTTGGGGATCTTCGTGGAAAAACCCCCTCTATTTTTATCACTTCTTGAACATGCCTCGTCGTCGTTCTGCCCCCGAGAATCCTCAGGCTAGTACTTCAAGGCCAGGGAAGTATAAAGTAAAAGGTAGTGAACAAATTAATAGATTTAGGGTTAGGTACGACTTTCCACCGAATGTAGAGGTAGAGGATTATGACGCAGCTGTGCACCCTCGTACCCTCGGTATCGAGGATGCAATGCCTTTTTATATTAAAGCCATTATAGAAGGCGGAATTAGGTTCCCTTTGCCCCCTCTGCTTCTCCAGTTCCTCTCTCATTTCCACCTCTTTCCCGGGCAGTGTTGCCTTAATGTCTTTAGGATAATTATGGGGGTGCTAGAGCTCAATAGGCGTCTTGGGGTAAACGTCGGGCTGGACGATATCCTTTTTTGTTATTCCCTTTTGAGAGTTACGCCTCAACAACACTTCTACCTCAAAGCCAGGGACCCATCTATGTACCTCGTAACTCACCTTCCTGACTCGGACAAGGGGTACAAGGATGACCTACTCATCTTCAGGGGATCTTGGCAGAGAGGTGTCGGTCCCGAGTATGACGGCTTGTTATGTCCATTGGAATGGAGAACGACAAGTACGTCGGTTCCTTCGGGTCTTATTATTTTGTTTCTGAGATTTTCTACATGCTCATGACCCACTCCCCTCTTTTTTGCTTGTGCAGACATCTCCCCTCGGGAAACAGCACCTCCACCCCGATCGTCGGTGAACTTTGCTGACTTAATCACCGTTTGGAATTTTACTGGCGACGACGGGCTCGGCAGGGCTGCCCACATCCTCCTGAATTACACCCCCGGGTATAAAAAGTTTTCACAGCTTCCCCAGCCTTTCGAGCCTTCTCGGTGGTCTGAACTCTTTGATCAGGCGACGGGGCAAGAAGTCGAGGAGAACTTGGAAGAAGACCCTGATCGGGCCTCGGAGGCTGAAGTTGAGGGTGAAGCTGAAGAGCTCGGGGTCGGAGAGGACTTGGTTCCTTCGCACGCCGAGGTGGGGACTTCGGGGAGAGATTCCTGGCCGGACTTCCAAATCCTACAATCTCTCGACGTCGAGGACGCCCTTGAGGTAGCTATGTCCAGCGCGCCCCGTATTGATTTAGGGTTCCTTAGGCAGAGGCAAGCCCTCGCTACTGGGAGGGGACGAGGATCGACCGGTGGGACCCCATCTGCAGGGACCAGTGCCACCCCCTCCTCAAGAGTCGTCAGTCGGGGTCAGGTGCGTGACCGAGATCCTCAGATGGAGGAGGAGAGGAGGGTCAAACATAGGCACGACGACCTTGGGAGGGGATCCAGGGCCTCCCCCGCTCAGCAGCAAAGTGGGAGAGGCCGTGGGTTACCTCCTGCTCCTCAGCAACAACAACAGCAGCGACAACAGCAACAGCAACAACAACAGCAACAGCAACAGCGGCGATAGCAGACTCCTCCTCTTCTGCAGACAGTGGAAGCTGCGGAGTGGAACCCTCGAGCCACTGATCACATGGACCGAGTGATCAGGGTCGACAATTCCATTTTGCAGGACCCTCATGTCGCCAATGCAGTGAGTGAGACGCTGCATTTCGAGGCCGACATGGCGGCTCACAGGGGGCGATCAACAAACGTGTTGTTTCGCTCCATCATCCAAAATTCCTTGGTGGTAAGTTCATCTTTGCTTCAGTCTCTTTTAGCCCCAATTTTCCTTTTAGTGACATGCTCTTTCATTTGCAGGCCACCCAACAGATTTCCATAATAGCGGCGCGGTACCATGGGACTAGGATGGACCTTCAGCGGGTTCGAGAGTAGAAGGAAGAAGCCGAGGGAGCCCTTGCCAGTGCTAGGGAGGATGTCGCTGCAAGGGATTCCACCCTCGCGGGGCAGGCTGCTCAAATCGAGCAACTCCTCAAGGAGGCCGAGTTGGCGAAGGTCGGCGCTGAAAAGCTAAGTGCTGCCCTTGCCGACGCTGAGAGGAGGATAACTGAACAGACGCAGCGGCTCTCTGCGGCAGAGGAGAGGGCTGTTGGTTCAGAGGAAAGCTGCCTGGCTCTGACCCAGGAGCTGG